CGAGGGCTCGTCTTCCGAGTCCGGCGCGTCCGAGTGCCACGAGCTGCTCCCCGGGCACCTACAGCGGCGTCGACGACTTTGGCATCTGCAAGAGATGCCCGGTCGGGACGTGGTCGAACAAGTCTGGCCTCGCCTCGGCCGGCGATTGCACGCCCTGCGCTGCCGGCAGCTTCGGGTCGTCGACGGGCGCCGACAGCTCGGACGCCTGTGAGCCCTGCCGCGCTGGGACCTACTCGGCGGCCGGCTCCGGGCAGTGTGACACCTGTCCTCCGGGCGAGTCGTCGCCGGTCGGCGCCTCGAGGTGCACCAAGTGCGACCCGGGCACCTACAGCGGCGCGGACGACTTCGGCCTTTGCAAGAGATGCCCGGTCGGGACGTGGTCGAACAAGTCTGGCCTCGCCTCGGCCGGCGACTGCACACCCTGCGCCGCCGGCACCTTCTCGGGCGAGACTGCGCAAATCAGCGCGGCGACTTGCCGACCGTGCAGAGCCGGAACGTACTCGGACGCCAGCGGCCAGGGCTTCTGCTTGGCGTGTGGCGAGGGCTCGTCCTCCGAGTCCGGCGCGTCCGAGTGCCACGAGTGCTCCCCGGGCACCTACAGCGGCGTCGACGACTTTGGCATCTGCAAGCGCTGCCCGGTCGGGACGTGGTCGAACAAGTCTGGCCTCGCCTCGGCCGGCGACTGCACACCCTGCGCTGCCGGCAGCTTCGGGTCGTCGACGGGCGCGGACAGCTCGGACGCCTGTGAGCCCTGCCGCGCTGGGACCTACTCGGCGGCCGGCTCCGGGCAGTGTGACACCTGTCCTCCGGGCGAGTCGTCGCCGGTCGGCGCCTCGAGGTGCACCAAGTGCGACCCGGGCACCTACAGCGGCGCGGACGACTTCGGCCTTTGCAAGAGATGCCCGGTCGGGACGTGGTCGAACAAGTCTGGCCTCGCCTCGGCCGGCGACTGCACACCCTGCGCCGCCGGCACCTTCTCGGGCGAGACTGCGCAAATCAGCGCGGCGACTTGCCGACCGTGCAGAGCCGGGACGTACTCGGACGCCAGCGGCCAGGGCTTCTGCTTGGCGTGTGGCGAGGGCTCGTCCTCCGAGCCCGGCGCGTCCGAGTGCCACGAGTGCTCCCCGGGCACCTACAGCGGCGACGACGACTTTGGCATCTGCAAGCGCTGCCCGGTCGGGACGTGGTCGAACAAGTCTGGCCTCGCCTCGGCCGGCGACTGCACGCCCTGCGCTGCCGGCAGCTTCGGGTCGTCGACGGGCGCGGACAGCTCGGACGCCTGTGAGCCCTGCCGCGCTGGGACCTACTCGGCGGCCGGCTCCGGGCAGTGTGACACCTGTCCTCCGGGCGAGTCGTCGCCGGTCGGCGCCTCGAGGTGCACCAAGTGCGACCCGGGCACCTACAGCGGCGCGGACGACTTCGGCCTTTGCAAGAGATGCCCGGTCGGGACGTGGTCGAACAAGTCTGGCCTCGCCTCGGCCGGCGACTGCACACCCTGCGCCGCCGGCACCTTCTCGGGCGAGACTGCGCAAATCAACGCGGCGACTTGCCGACCGTGCAGAGCCGGGACGTACTCGGACGCCAGCGGCCAGGGCTTCTGCTTGGCGTGTGGCGAGGGCTCGTCTTCCGAGTCCGGCGCGTCCGAGTGCCACGAGTGCTCCCCGGGCACCTACAGCGGCGTCGACGACTTTGGCATCTGCAAGAGATGCCCGGTCGGGACGTGGTCGAACAAGTCTGGCCTCGCCTCGGCCGGCGACTGCACACCCTGCGCCGCCGGCACCTTCTCGGGCGAGACTGCGCAAATCAACGCGGCGACTTGCCGACCGTGCAGAGCCGGGACGTACTCGGACGCCAGCGGCCAGGGCTTCTGCTTGGCGTGTGGCGAGGGCTCGTCTTCCGAGTCCGGCGCGTCCGAGTGCCACGAGTGCTCCCCGGGCACCTACAGCGGCGTCGACGACTTTGGCATCTGCAAGAGATGCCCGGTCGGGACGTGGTCGAACAAGTCTGGCCTCGCCTCGGCCGGCGATTGCACGCCCTGCGCTGCCGGCAGCTTCGGGTCGTCGACGGGCGCCGACAGCTCGGACGCCTGTGAGCCCTGCCGCGCTGGGACCTACTCGGCGGCCGGCTCCGGGCAGTGTGACACCTGTCCTCCGGGCGAGTCGTCGCCGGTCGGCGCCTCGAGGTGCACCAAGTGCGACCCGGGCACCTACAGCGGCGCGGACGACTTCGGCCTTTGCAAGAGATGCCCGGTCGGGACGTGGTCGAACAAGTCTGGCCTCGCCTCGGCCGGCGACTGCACACCCTGCGCCGCCGGCACCTTCTCGGGCGAGACTGCGCAAATCAGCGCGGCGACTTGCCGACCGTGCAGAGCCGGAACGTACTCGGACGCCAGCGGCCAGGGCTTCTGCTTGGCGTGTGGCGAGGGCTCGTCCTCCGAGTCCGGCGCGTCCGAGTGCCACGAGTGCTCCCCGGGCACCTACAGCGGCGTCGACGACTTTGGCATCTGCAAGCGCTGCCCGGTCGGGACGTGGTCGAACAAGTCTGGCCTCGCCTCGGCCGGCGACTGCACGCCCTGCGCTGCCGGCAGCTTCGGGTCGTCGACGGGCGCGGACAGCTCGGACGCCTGTGAGCCCTGCCGCGCTGGGACCTACTCGGCGGCCGGCTCCGGGCAGTGTGACACCTGTCCTCCGGGCGAGTCGTCGCCGGTCGGCGCCTCGAGGTGCACCAAGTGCGACCCGGGCACCTACAGCGGCGCGGACGACTCCGTGTGCCGACTTTGTCCAGTCGGGACGTGGTCGAACAAGTCTGGCCTCGCCTCGGCCGAGGCCTGTGACGACTGCCCTGCCGGCACCTTTGGAGCGGCCACGGGTAGCAACAGCAGCGACGTATGCAAGCCCTGTATCTTAGCGACGTATTCTTCCCAAGGTGGTGTCGGCCAATGCGAACTTTGCCCCGCCGGCTATTCTACAAATGGTACGGGCGCGACGGAATGCATCAAGTGCCGACCGGGCTTCTACAGCACGTCTCAGTCGAGTTGCAGGTTGTGCAAGCATCCTCTTTCCAGCACTGACGGCAGCGCATCGTGTCCATTTTGCGTAGAGGGCTATTACCCAGTCGACACGAATGACAATGGCGAGCCGCAGTGCCGCCGTTGTCCCGACCACACCAAATGTATAGCCAACACATCCGTCGAAACCATGGAGCTGCTGGACGGCTTTTGGCGTGCGAGCCGCAGCACGGACAGCATCGTCCAGTGCCGTCGCTACAGCGGCTGGTCGCGCTGCATGGGTGGGATAAGCGCAGGGGAGGAGGGCGACGGGTATTGCCAAGCCGGATTCGCGGGGCCAGAGTGCGAACTCTGTGCGGACGTCGATGGGAAACGAATGCATCGCGTTGGCACTAGCCGTTGCGAGCCGTGCTTCTCCGAGTCCAGCACACCCACCGCTAGAACCGCCGCCGCCATAGGGAAGCTCATCGGCGCCTGCCTCGCAGTCGCCCTGCTCGTTGGCGCGCTGGTCTTGGTCCATCGGCAGCAGGCTTGGCGGGATCGGCGAGTGGTCGGGCCTTGCCTGAAGTTTTCGGATCGCTGCATCGCACGCAGCCATGCGATCGGGCTGGCGGCGAAGGCGAGTCCTCGCTTGAGCCCTGAGCTTGGGCGAGCCAACCCTCAACCCCCCCCCCCCCCCCCTTCCAGGCGAAGATCCTTGTTGGCTTCATCCAAGTCGTACTCTCGCTATCGTCCAACTACCGCGTCCGCTGGCCGCCCGCATACCAAGCTTTTGGCGATTCGATCTCCCGATTCAATATCGATCCAATCCAGCTCTTCCTGCCGTCGGACTGCTTCCCTTACCGCGTCCGTCTCCTACTCTACGAGTGGGGACCGTTCACACTCATCGCGTGCGTCCTTGCCGTCGGTCTCCTCCTCCGCCTCAAAGAGTGGTGCGCCTCGGCGCCGCCGCGCCGCTCCCTCGCCGAAGCTGTCAAGGATGGGCTCCTCGACTGGACCCCGGCCGCACTAGTGATCGTCTTCATGGTCGTGCCCCTCACGAGCGCATACACATTTCAGGCGCCCGCATTGTGTCGTTGACACTCCACCATCCCACCGGCTCGCCGACACTTCCCAACTCCCCCCCCCCCCCTTTGCCTTTCTCCCGTCGCCACCCTCCCTTCTCCCCGCAACTGGTCGCAGGCTTGGTCTTGCGAGTGGTACTACACGTCTCTCATCGAGCCGCCCGACGGCAGCGTCACCTACTCTAAGAACTTGCTCCAAGATCTGAGACTCGAGTGTGATTCGGAGGAGCACAGAGAGGCGATTCGCATCGCCGTTGGCTCAGCGATCTTGTGGCCGCTCGGCTCGCTCGTCTTGTTCGCTGCACTCTTGGTGCCGGTCCGCCGCCCGCTACTGCAGCAAAGGCCGAACTCGCTCAGCCGCGCAACGTCCTTTCTGCACCGAGAGTGAGACCAACGGAGAGATGGATCGGGGCCTGAGCACCGCGCGCGTCTCTTACCCGGGCGCCGCTGCGAATAGGTACAAGTTGCAGTGGTACTGGTGGGAGGAGGTGGAGTTGGCACGCAAAATCATGCTGACTGGCTTTTTCGCGCTGATCGGCCCACGAGACGAGGCGAGCTCCTTTGTCCGGCTCATCTTTGCCACCGTCCTGTCCATGGTATACGCCGTCCTCGTGGCACTCGTGCAGCCCTTCAAGCGCTTCGAGGTAGTGGCGGCGGCCGGGCGCGGGCAGCCTCCAACTGTCAACATGTTTTGGTTGACTCCGCCACCCCGGCATGTCATGTAGGACGCCATGCTCGCCTCCGCCGCCGCTATGGTGGTCGCACTCGTCTTTGCCGGTTTCGCAGCGCCTAGATGCTGAGATCTCTAAGACGCACAACACTGGGCACGGTGTTGGATGCGCGAGACTCTAAGACTCGCTCGAGGGGGCCGCCACGATGCCGTCTCACGGCCCCACATGCGCGCGTCTTCGAATAGGCTCGCAGCTCTCGACCGTCTGGATGGCAGCCCGACCGGGAGCCCCCTGTCGCCGTCCCTAACACGTCCCCTCCTGACTCGTTTTGGCGCGCCCGGCAGGCGATCGACGAGCGACCCGGCGGCGGGGAGGAGGGGCAGTCGGACGCGGAGGCAATCACCGGCATGAGGAGTCCAAACGGGATCCTCATCTTCCTGTTGGTGCTGACGGCAGTGCTCCTCTTGCTCTTCATTGTCGGCGGCGTGGTTGGGCTGCGGCGTATTGCCGGCGTCCCCACTATCAGGCTTAGCCGGACCGGACAACGTCCAGAGCTATCGCTCCACCGGGGTGTGCTGTGGCACTTGTTCAACAGCCACATCTGGTCGACCGGTCAGGACGCCGCCGCCGCCATCAAGAAGGAGCTGCAGCTGTTGCTGCCCGGCATAAACGTCTTTCTAGACGCGCGCGCCCACAGAATCACTGCGCCGCTCATAGCGAGATCGCGCCCAAGACGCACCGCGTGCGCACAGGTGGACGATCTCGAAGATATTGGGGCGCTCGAGACGTACATCCGCCAGTCGCAGCTCATCCTCTGCTTCCTCAGCCGCGGGTACCTCCGGTCCGCGAACTGTCTCCGCGAGGTTTGCGCGGCCCTCGACCAAGGCGTGCGCCCATTCCCCTCGCGCCGGCACTCACGGGGCGCCGTCGGCTGAGCGAAACGGCCTCGCGTCCGCACACCAGGCAAGGCGATCGTGCTCGTGCAGGAGGCGGACCCAGCCAAGGGCGGCGGCTCGCTGCCCGAGCTGCGCGCCGAGTGCGAGATCGAGGAGGTGGCGGCGGGCCTCTTCGGCGGCGGGCACCCGCACGTCGTCTGGCAGCGCATCGAGGAGTTCCGGGTGGTCTCGCTCAAGGAGATCGCGCGAGCCGTGCTGCTGCATTCGCCCAACTACCAGGGCATCGCCCGGCTGCCGCTCCACATCCCGGGCGAGCTGCAGCAAAAGACGCTGGCGCTCAAGGGCCCGGCGAGCCTCTGCCCCGTGTCGCTAGTAGTAGCCTGCCCCACGGATCGTCGGCACTTTCGCGCTCAATCGCTGGGGACCCCCTCCTCCCTCTCACCACCCCTTCAACGCCAGTCGGGCACGCGTAGTCGCGCTGTGGGCCTCGATCTCACCCCGAGACGGTCCGCGAGTAGGTCGCGCTGTGGGTCTCGTCCGCAAACGTCGGCGCACGCGAGCTCGCCGACGAGCTCTGCGAGACGATCGGCGGCATCACCGTCGTCACCGCGCGAGGCCGGCTTACGCGCGCTAGAGGGCAGAGGAAAACTCAGGCGCGCAGGGGCAGCAGCTCAGAGGCCAGCGCGGAGGCCAGCGCAGACTTCAGAGCAGAGGCCAGCGAGGGGCCCGAGGAGGGTGGGCAGGTCCAACCGCCGGCGACGCACTTGCTGCTATACCTGTCGGAGGAGACGTGAGAGGGCCTAGATGCCTGCACCAATCTCACCAACAGCTGTCCTGGCCTCACACTGTGCGCTCACACCGAGGCAGGCCGGCGCCCGCGAGCCCCTGCTCCGTCTCCAGGTGGAAGGACGATCGGCTGGTGGAGCAAGTCCAAGCGGCGCGCGCAGACAAGCTCCCTATCGTGATGGCGCACGAGACACGGCCGCAGCGCGGCGGCTGCCAGTTCTCCCGCTTTTTTGAGACCACGCCGCAGGTCCTTGTCGCCGGCGGCCTCTATAAAGAACTCGCCATCGCATGCATCGGCGGCGCGCACCGCGACATATCCCTCCGCCTCCTCGCCATGGCTCTCGGCGCAAAGTCGTCAGGCGGGGGGCAGTCCTGCCTTCCACGCTTCGCGTTGCATGGCCGCGCGGCGCAGCCGCAGCCGCCGAACCCCTAGGCGCTTCCTACCTGAATGTTCATTTCCGTCGGTGTTCTCCTTCGTTAGTTGGAGTAGAGGTGTGCATGCACATGCACATGTACATGTTGTTGTTGTGCATGTCATGTCATGTGCATGTAGAACCAGCGCCGGCCCCCGCTCAGAAAGCTAGAAAGAATCGCCGAGGGAGGGACGGAGGGGAGAGACGCCGCCCAGCGTCGACGGGAGGCGGGTCGGCGTGTTGAGCTGCGCACGTCACGCCTTCGCCGTGGCCGAGGAGCCCTTCAAATCCCTCTTCGTCCTCCTCCAACCCCACTGAGCCGCACGACGAGAGCCGCCCCTCGCCGACGATGAAGACGCTGTGCTGTTCGCCTGCCGCCTAGTGGCTGCCCCTCAACGCCTATGTCGACACGCCTTCCCCACGAGAGAATGTACTCGGCGATGAGAGCCTCTCCCTCGCCGCACGCAAAGAATGCCCGCACATCGTCGCGCGTCCAAAATCTGACAGTCCCATCGGTCGTGAGCGCAAGCCATCCGTCAAAAAGGCCAACACGAGGCTCCACCATCGCCTCCAGCCGCTTCGACCCAGGCTGAAAGCTCGCAATCTGGGCAAGGACAGCGCTGGCATAGCCGGCGCTGCCCGGCGTCTGCGCAACAGCCAGAGCGACAGGCTGCTCTTTTCCCTGCACACTTTTGAGTCTCCGACCATACGCGGTGCGCTGTGCGTTGGCTGAGAGGGCTGCGACCTCGGCTGGACTTGCATATGGCGTCATCTCCCTGACGCTCGACGCGCATCTGCTGCAGGACGTGGCCGAGTTGTGGTTGACAACGTCTCTGCAATGCCGACACAGCCACCACTCCAGCCGCAGCTGCGGCATTGTGCGCCATTCGGCGGCCGACGGTATCTGACCGCGCTGCGCTCGCAGCTGCAAAGACACCGCCGCAAATGCCGCCGGACCCGCATCCGGAAGAGCCAGGATTCCAGCTGCCGTCGATGCTCCATCGCCCGCAACAAGCGTGCGATGCTGCGTCACTGCGCCAAGAGGCGCAGCAACCTCGACCTGGGTATTGCTCGGGTCCGCAACGCCCACGGGGCGAATGCGATTGCCTGGCCCTATCGCCAAACGGCTCTGCTCCTCCTCTTGTCTGGCAGCAAACGCAAGCTGCGGCACAGGCCGCGTTGGCGCAGAGGAGGCGGCAAGCCTCAACGCGCCTACCCGTGGCATGCCGCCGGATCGGGCCACGACTAAGGCTGCAGGATTCGGCCCCGCCTGCTGCGAGTGCCCTCCCGTTGCGGTGTCCATTTTGCGTGCAGTGGGACTACAACTGTAGCGCGTCGGCAGGATCCCCAAAACCGTATAAGCCCCCCAAATTGAATTCGACCGCCCAAAGCCGTCCCCCCCCCCGCAAACTCTAAACCACCATAAACTACACAAAACAGGGGCTCCAGGCCCCAGATGACGTGTGAGTGTTAGAGTTGTTTGCTATTGCTAAAAATCTCTCTCTCTCTCTCTAAGTAAATCTTCCTGGCGCAAAGCTCGAGAGAGATTTTTAGAAGCCAACAAGAAATGTGGTACACACAGTGATTTGGGCTCGGCAGCTTGTCGACTACAAGCCGGAGCCGGAGTCGGAACCGTAGAGTAGATGGTCGTCGTTTGTGTCGAATATGTCATTCGCCTCGCTAGTAGAGCCGGTGCCGCATGAGTCTTGGTCGGAGGAGAGGTCTCTCTCAAAGCTCGTAGCGTGCCGCCAGCGGTGAAGCCCAGGCTGTACATGTGCAGACAGGGATTCATAGAGCTCCTCCTCGACTCCTCCCCTTCTCGCACTCGGGCCACTCGCACGCCTTGCCCTGCTCATCGTACATCGACCCGATACCTCACTGGACACTGCCCCGGCGCCCTCACCTCGACCTTCTTGGGCAGCAGCTGGTTCGAACAACGGGGAGACCCTTTGAGGCGCTCGCACACGGCTCCATCCCGGTACTGATTTCGGAGGGCCTGCCAGCCGGCAAGGTTACGCGGGTGTGAGGATCGACTAGGCGGTGATAAGCGGACCGAGCGGATCAGGAGATCTCATGTTCCCCTAACCGGGCGGAAAATTCTTAAGAAAGAAAGAAAACAGACAAGCCAAGGGAGGGATGGGAGGACGGCACGCCGCCACCACACACAGAGGGATAGACAGGGATTTTAAGGCGGAGAGGAGTGTGGTGCTAGCCGTCGCCCACCCTTGGGCGTCTGGCTCTTTCTATCTCTCTTCGCAGTCCCTCGCCGATTCTCGCTGCAACCTTCATGCCACCTCGCGTTCTTCCCACTCTCGTAGTTCTCTCTCTTGTCGCTTCTTCCTCTGAGAGAGTTTTAGCAATACCAAACAACTCTAACACTCACACGTCATTCATTTGTTTCCTCTGTCGCGTCGCTCTCGTCTGCCTCATCCCTCATCCGCGACGCCGCCGCCAACAAAGAAAGAAAGAAAGAAAACAGACACGCCAAACGAGGGATGGGACGAGGACAGGGTCCCCACCTGCACGAGCAGGATTTTGGAAGGACGATCAGGGGGACAGGTGGGGCTCTCCTGCTCCTGACAAGGGACAACAGACAACCCAAGGCGGCGCACGCAAATTCTTTTCCTGGCAGCTTCAGTGGCAACGCGTCTGAATGCTCGCCTCGCCTCGCGCAAATGCGACCGTCCTCGCAGCCGACAGTCCACCGCCTGCTAAAGAAGCACAGCGACGAATGCGGCACCGGCGACGCAAGGCAGGCTGGTCATGACGCAGTTATAGGGTGTTGTGTGCCGTCAGAGTGACTCTCTGTGTGTCAGGGATAGTCAGGGCCGTCCATCAGAGCTCCAGTAAGCTCGGAGACACCCCATTAGTGCGGCTCGACCTCTTTGAGTCACTGCCTTCCCGGCTGTAGAGCCTCTACAACAAACTCTACAGCAAAATCGCGCTCTACATCGCTCTTCATCGGACTCACATCGTCACGCGGCGGATGTAGAGCTCTACAGCTCTACAGCGCTCCAGAGCGCTCTACAGCTCTACAGCTCTACAGCGCTCTACACTCTACATCCTCTTACACCCATCACCCTTGAGCACTTGAGCACTTGATAGGGTCGATTCCGCATGGTACGGGACCCCTCCGATCGTCTCGCCCTCCCTCACTGGTGTGTTCATTGGGGGGGGTCATAACAAACACGGTACAGGATCGAGGTGCACGCTGCCGAGGCAGTGTCGTCCCCCCTCTCCCCGACGGCGATGGCGGTGTGACCGATCACCCTCCCTCAGACAGGGATTTTAAGGCGGAGATTCTCCCGCCTCTGGGCGGGCTTTCAAATTCTTTTCCTGGCAGCTTCAGTCTGTGTGCAAATTCTTCGGCTGAGGGCTGACAAGCTGCCGAGCCCAAATCACTGTGAGAGTCGTGATTTCTTGTTGGGTAGCTCTTTGTGTTGCGATGCTTCCTGGCGAGGGAGTGTTGGGCTTTCCGGCCCACACTCGGCTCTTGAGGCATTTATCGGCATCTTAATATGCCGTAGGGACACACAGCAAGGAGTAGTGTCTACGCGCGCACACGCCACAATGCTGTCTTAAGGTCCGACAGGTTCGGCACCGGGCACCGCCTCGGTATACAAAATGCGCCTGCGGGCGGACCCTTACAGATCACAGATCACATGACAGTTGGCGACGGCGTCTGGAGTTTTCAACACTCCTGACAGCTTGTATTTAGTGCCAGTGCGCGCCAGTCCCGTGCCCAGTGTTGTGCGAGGGAGTTATTTTGTAAAATTCTTCTGCTTTTAGAATTCTTCTCACGTTGTGAGCCAGGGCGGCGCTGCTAGGACACGCGAACACAACCGTCGCACGCTGGACGCCTTTCCAAGTCTTTGCTCTCGAGCCAACTACACTACCGCAATACCGCAATAATGTCCAGCGCGGTCGACCCAAGGCCGCCCAGGTGCAAAATTCACAACTTCCGCACACCCTCATAGCCTAACCCGCCGCCATGCCTGCGCGGCCATGGTTTCGGTGCCGCAGCCCCTCTCACGCACCCGCTTCTTCTCCTCGAGACGCGCTTTCAGCACATCCAACTGCGGCTCGTTTTCCACCTGCACGAGCCACGCAATTCATGATTGCAGAGCAATTGGCGTGTGGCCGCTGTCGGCCCGCGCGTGTGTGTCTATGGTGGGGCTGGGAGGGGTGGCAGACACGTGAGGGCAACGGCGCCAGCACCCCTCGCATCCCTCCTCTCACACGGCCGGCCCTCTCCCGCTCCCGCAGGCTCCTTTGGACGAGCTGCGCTGCAGTAGTATCGGGCGCCTCCTCCCGCTCCTCCTCTCCCCATGTCTTTTGTGGAGAAGAACCACTGGGAGCACGCGCTGCCGTTGCTGGAGGCGCACGCGGAGACCTTTTGTCAGCTCTCCAGCGGCAATCAGGCGCACCAGCTGCCGGTCCCCAAGGCCCTCCCGCACCAACTCGCGGCCGTCCGCGGCGACCGCACGCGTGTCCTGGCTCTCCACTACCCTCCTCCTCGCTCGCCCGGCTACCTCACCTCCAAGGGCGACGCGACGGACGCGACCACCCGCCTGCTCGCGAGTGCCGTCAACAAGGCCTTCCAGGAGCACCACCTCAATTTCGACCAGACGTTCGACGTCATCGGCGACCTCTACGACGGGCCGCACGACTTCAAGGTCGACGGCAGAGACTTCAACTTCGAGACTCACTTCTTCGACAAGCTGTCGCCCGAGGAGCAGCAGGCGTGGTGGGAGACCAAGGTCGGCACCCTCGTCGGCATCATCGTGGACGAAATCGTGCTGCGCGGGCGCAAGGGCGCGGACGTGCTCGCCATGGGCGTGCTGCCCCGCAAGTGGTGGCCGGAGCTGCTCGCTGCGGCGGTGCCGCTCGCGCGCGAGCAGGCGGGCAGGATCCTCGGCCTCACTTACCTGCCGCCGTACGACATTGCGTACCCGAGCACCAGCGGCGGGCAGCTTCCCCCGCTGACTCCCGACGAGGAGACGGGCCGCGCGCCGTCCTGCGGCGACATCGAGATCCAGCACCCGTGCGGCGCCCTGTCCTTCATGAGCTTCGACCAGCGCGCGCGGCTCGACGCCGGCCTGCAGTGGCTTCACCGGCACATTCTCGGCGACTCGCACGTCGTCTACTTCCGCAGACTCACGCCAAAGTTCGGCGACTACTCCGAGGCGGAGCGCCGGCGGGCGCAGGCGGACGCAAAGGTGCGATTCCAGGCATTTCCTCGACCCGCCACCACACTTGTCTATCCCCGGCCGCCTCGGCGCAGGCGCGCGAGGGCGGGTTCGAGGGGCAGCTGCCCGACGAGCTCGACCGGCCGCCGACCGAGGAGGAGGAGAAGGCGATGAAGGCGGCGATCGCGCGCGCCGGCACCGCGCGCCTCTGCGGCGGCAAGGAGGCCGTGGAGAAGCGCCTGGACAAGCCCTTCGCGCAGGTCACCGACGCGGAGCTGAGCGCGCTGCTCGACGACGCCAAGGTCGAGAATCGTCTCCCCGCAGACACTTCCTAGACGCTTCCTAGGCACTTCCCGCGCCATCCCCGCACCCCGCAGACACTTCCTGGACACTTCCTGGACACTTCCTGGACACTTCCTGGACACGACCTAGAGACGTCCACGCCCCCACGGCCCACTCTAGGCGCGGCAGGGCGGCTACAACGGCCCGTCGCCGCTGGACCAGAAGCTGGCCCCCAAGCAGAAGAAGGCGAGGAAGGAGGCAATCTCAGGCGAGATGAGCATGCGCTCGCAAGGCGGCAGGGAGTTTGTGGAGGCGGCGGAGGCGGGCGACGAGAAGGCGAAAAAGCGGGTCAAGGAGATCAAGGAGATCAAGCGGGCGAGCGGCAAGAAGGGGGCCAAGAAGGGGGCCAAGAAGCTGAGGGAGAACGCCGCAGGCACCCCCCCCCCCCCTCCCCCCTCACACACGCACACCGACTGCCCGAATAGGCTAAGGCCCCTCCCTCCCTGTTGCAGCCGTGGATCCGCCACTCGCCTGGGTCAACATCCGATTGCTGAGCGGTGGGGCGGCTGAGCTGTGCGCCGTGCGCCGCGCCCCCAACGTGATCAAGAAGAACTCCAAGGGGGACCGGGTGGTTTACCCCGGAAACTGCAAGGCCTGCATCGGGAAGTTCATTATCTCCTTCCCCAAGCGCGGGCGCAACAAGGGTGAGATCATCACGATCTCGGGCGCCGACGTGGCCATCATGGAGGACGCCTACACACCACCCCCGCCCGCATGAGCGCGACGCTTTCGCAGAGCGTAGTACTGTTGCTCCGGGAAAGCTGATGCGCGAGCGCGCCCCACCCTCTGATCTACTAGTCATGCAGAGGGTGGCAGTCTGTCTGAGAGAGGGACAAGCGTCGTAGAGCGCACAGGCCTCGTCAGGTTTTTGCTCATGCGTTGACTCATGGTGCATTCACTCACACCACCGCAGTATAAGGTCGATTGAGTTAGGTTTTCTGCGCCGTACTTTTCTTCTGCGGAGTCGCTTAGGCGGCTCCGGTGGTGAGCCTGTGTGTGTGCCAGTCCGCGCCAGTCCGCGCCCTTGTCGTGCCAGTGTGCTGTGAGAGATTGTATCTTAAGAATTCTTTTCCTGGCAGCCTTCAGTCGGGCAGCTGGCTCGCCTGGCGGACCTCGCGCCTTCCATGTCCGTCTCCGCAGTAATCACCGCCTTCCACACGGCGAGCCCAGATCAAAAGTGCGTGTCCCGAACCCAGTGTCCCATATCGCACCCCGCGCGTGCACGCATGAGGCCGCCGTCCGCCTGCGTGCAGTCCATACACGGTGTACGTGCTCACAGTGAAGAAGGGCTCCGCGTCGTGGGTCGTGTTTCGGCGGTACCGCGAGTGGGAGGACCTCCGCACGACGCTCCTGCAGCAGCTCGGATCCGCGCCGCCCATGCCGCCCAAGGCTCTGTTTGGGCGCATGCGGCCAGAGGTTATCGAGGCGAACCCTTCCGCCGCCGGCTCCGCACTGGGCCCGCGGCGCGCCCTCACGCGTGCGAGGCGCGGTCTAGGCGCGCGTGCTCGGCCTCAACCACTTCCTGCAGCTCTGCCTCGGCACTCCGCTCTACGCGTCTCACCGCGCTCTCGGCGCGGCGGCTCCGCTCGCCTCCAGCCCTCTTCCCTCCGG